CTGACACTATCCAGCCAGGAACCCACCTCTCAGGAGGCTCTGCCCCAGGGTCCTGGACCAGCCACCAGTTGCCCCTTACTGGGGGGTTACACCCCCACCTCCCCTGGCCACAGCTGCAGTCATTAGAGGGTCTCTGAGGCCTGGAGCAGGAGCTCATGGCTCCAGTACAATCCCTTCAGCTGCCCATGAAGGCCAGGCAGGTCCAGACAGAGCAGCCCAGGAAAGCTGAGCCACGTCCCAGCACCGCCCCTTGCCAGGGCCTGGCCCGCCACCAGCTCCGCCACCTCCAGGCAGAGGCCACCACCTCCAGGCAGAGGCACCCTGGCCAGGCAAGCACCATCCACTCCGAAGGCCCTGCAGATTAGGAGGAAGGCTTGATTTTGGGTTCCGAATTTAGCACCTCCAAAGCCACATCAGATACAGAAAGTGCAAGGGTTGGTTCTGTCAGCAGACACCTGAGCCACGAGGGATGCGAGCCAGGAACCCCCAGGGTTCCCCAGGGTTGCTTACCTCGCCCTCGCCCTCACTCTCTCTCTCTCTGTCGGTCTGCCCCGCTGTGGGCCTATCAGGGTTACCTAGCGGGGTTACCTTAACCTTGTGGTCCGGGAAGGTGGATGATCCCTTTTTAAGAGCAACACAGGAAGTTTGCTAAAGGCACAGAAATGATTTATTAATCTTCAGCAACCAAGCATCACACCATCACACACACAAATAAAGCTCCCACCTGAAACGCTTGTCAGACAAGTGCAGGAACTTGACCCACCCTCGGGACTCACCAGCTGGACTTGAGATGTAGCAAGTACCAGCCCTGGGAGGGCGGGGGTATTCCACATCCAGAGACAGCCAATGGCTGGCAGAGGGGTGGTCTCGCCTTCCCTCCCCCTCCACCCGAGGCATTGGGTGGCATCAGCAGGACGCCAGGCTTGCACTGCACACTGCGCTGCCGGCCTCAGCTGCTGTGTGTCCGCCACGCCGCCTAGGCATCGCTGGTGCATGAGCATGTTGCCTGCAGCTGGTCGGGCATGGTGAGGACATCCCACCCCTCCTCATTCTGTCTCAAAGTGTATGAAAACCTGGGGCCCTGGGGACCCAAAGTGTCCCCTCTGATTGACAGGTAACAGAAAGGATGCATGATGCTTGGGATGCTTGGTCATCTCCACCTCCAACCAGGTCAGGGGGAGAGAGCACACGGGCAGCCGGTGGGGCCGGCCCTGGCTGAGCCCCCTCTCCTGGAGGCTTTGCTGGCTGGCACTGTTTCCGAGCACTCCCTCGGGGCTGTGTCCCAGTCACAGAAACCCTGGCAGGGCTCCCCAGGGCAGCGGGGGTGGTGCAGAAGTCTACACCCTGTAAAAAACACCAGCTGGCAACCTGAGCCCCACGCAGCAGGTGTTGGGCTCGTGTGTGTCACCCTGATCCACAGGGGGTCTGGCAGGCCCGTGCCCTACTTCGCCACCTGTCCTCGGCAGAGCCTCCCAGCTGGGTACTTATGAAGGCTGCCAGGAGCTGGCGTGTACCCAGAGACACTGTGCAGGGGTCTCAAGGTCAGGACTGAAGCAGCCGGAAGAGGCTCAGCTGCAGGCCAGGGCGGCAGGTAGCGAGGCCTCGGGTGAGCTGACTCCGGGAGAAACCCCCGGTTGCAGCTCTGCTAGTGACGCCATTGCTGACTGGGCCATTCACAGGTCTGTGTCCACCACTCCAAGGACCGAGCAGCCCTGGGACCTCGGGCAGGGCGCACGCCTCTATGGGGCCACCCTCCCGGGAGCCTGGGCCGCGGCCTCCGATCTCCCACAGATCGGGACCTGAGTGTGTGTCCTCTCGGCACACGCGCATCTGTCGTACGAGGGTGCGTCCGCATCCCTGTTTCCACTCGGGGAGGGTGGGCTTACACTGCCCGGGGAGAATGCTTATGCTGTCAGTAGTGTGCTTCCGTTTAAAAGGAAACAATGAGTCCAAGGGGCTTCGAGAACCTTGTTCTGGGGCTCTGGGGCTCCGTGGCTGCCGGTCAGCCCTGAGGGAGCAGCCGCTTCTCTGCAGTTTCTGCAGAAAAGTCCCTGACTCTGAGCGGCCAAGCCGAACGGCACAGTCCCCAGGCCACCTGCCGCGGGCCCTGGCACACTTCGCGGCCTGTGAAGCCCTTCAGCACGCCCTGGCCCGATCTCCCACGCACATGCGCGCACAGCCGTGTCGCACGCTGACCTCCCTCCCGGAGGCCCACCGTGCTTTCTGCTCACTATGCCCGACCTCCCCTCATCGGAGGCTGAACTGGGAGGTACTCGCAGAACCCCCCTCCCCCCGCTGGGCTCACACTCAGGGTCACCTGGAGTCACCCAGCTTGCCAGCCAAGGACCCTGAGTCCGGGACGCGCCCCTTGTCCAGAGCGCTGGAGTGACCTTCCCAGAGCTGCAGGTCACTGTTCCAAAAGGAGCGTCTGCCCCAGCCCCACCCCCGCACGGTGAGCTGCTCCCACATGGAGAGGTTCTGAGTGGCTGCGGCCGCAGGCCCAGGGCTAAGTGCCCACTCTGCTAAGAACACGGGTGCTGGTGGTGTCCTGTTAACCACGGGGCCGAGGGAAGCCGGACGACATGGCCACAGCCTCCGGGAGGGCTGGGCAGGGCCTGTAGCCAGGGCAGTGCTCCTCGGCTCACCTCCGAGAGCCTTAGCTTCTCATCTGCCCCGGGGGCTCGGACCCCTTCCCGCGGGGACCCTCAGGGTGGGGGGCTCCACAGCAGGGTGGCGCTTGCAGCCCCTCCCCCAGGCCTACTATGGCCACCCCATGAGAACAGGTGCCCTGACTGTGAGCCCAGGAGACTGGGGACAGAGGTTGAGTGGTGGCACTTAGGCGGGTTCTTCTGCCCCAGCCGCTGGGTGGGGGCCAGCAGGCAGCTCAGCACGCAGCGTGGACCCGCCGTCCACAGGGTACTCACATACTGTTGCTTCTTATCCGACAGCAGGCGGGTCACCTCCTCCCGTTCCCTTCTGATCTCATTCTCATCATAGTAAAATTCACGGACAGTGAACCTGAAAACAAGCCAAGGGCGAGCTTTCCCTCAGAAGCTCCCAGGAGGGGCAGAGCCCCCACGGGGAGACCAACCAATCCCGAGAAGCCCGCCAGGGCCACGGCCTTACTTGTTCTCTTTGGCTTTGATTTTGAAATCATCGATCACTTTCCGAAACAGAGTCACTGTGAAGAGGCCGCCCTCGTTGTCCTCAGCAATCAGTCTGTGGAGAGAAGCATTTGTCTGCTGGACCACGGGCCGGCCTCAGCAGGCCCCAGGCCTCCTTTGGGAGGATGGCCACTGCGGGGCTGGGCCTGTGTCTCCCTGAGCTCAGAGGCCCTGGTGGGGGCAAGGCTGGGAGCCAAGGGTGACCCCTATGATGTCCGAAACCCTTACCACCCTACCCAACCCACACGTCCCTCCAAGTTAAAGCTCGGGACCCAGGGGATCCAAGGGCAGGGAGTGTGTAGGTCTGGGCCTCCTCTGCTCCCCCAGAGCCTGAGCACCCACGCTCCTCCCGGGCCAGCTTACCGCAAGGCCCTGGCCCTGACGTGCTGCGGTTACGAGGAGGCAGGTGGATTTCTAGTCAGTGGAAACCACCCGAAAGGTCCACCTCACTTCTGATGTCACAAGGTCGTAATTGGACCCAAACTCCCAGCATGCCTCAACACAGCGCCACTGGGGCCTCTCTGTCCCCTACAACATGGGAGTTCTTGGGCCAGTAGCTGAAGCATCTCTGAGCTCAGGTGGCCAGGGATCCTGAGAATGGGAGCCATCAGCCCAGGCATGCTTTCATGGCATGCTGCCTGGGCCCCCTCTGCTGTTTCTCGGAGCCCAGACCATCCCATCCCAGAGCCACCCGTGCTGGCTCTCGGGTGCCCTCTGACAACGAAGGCCTGAGCGCTCCGGCCTGAGAGGCCAGTCCACATTGCGGCAGCCTCTCCAGGCCAGGGTCCCCTGCTTGGCTGAGGGCAGTGAGCACCTCGGCCTGGCAGGCCAGCTCCTCTGTGGTCTGCAAGCCTGGCCTCCTCCTGCCTTTCCCGTGACCTCAGGCTGTGACATCGTGTCCCTACAGCCCTCAGTTCAGCTCCTGATCACTGTCGCACATTGCCCAGGGCAGAGGCCCCAGCCAGGGACAAGATAGGACGGGGTGGAGGGTGGGGGGGTGTGATGAGGGAGCCAGGGCTGTGCTCAGAGTTCTGTGTGGAGAGGCAGGTGAATGGGTGCTGGCTGCCTGAGGCTCACTGGGTCTGCAAAATGGCATAGAAGGTGATATGCCCACAGATCTGCCACCCAGCTCGAGATCCAAACCATCTCATTTCCTGCACCCGGAAGCCTCATATGCCCCTTCCAGTGCATTTCCTCTGCTCCCGCATGGCAACCGGGGTGGCCTTCCCAGGGGAGGGGCCAGGACTGGGCCTTCGCAAGATAGAGGCAGTCTGGCTTGTGGCAAGGTGTGTGGCCTCGAAGGAGCTGCAGGACACAGGTGTGGAGGGCTGGGGGCTGCGCACCATCAGGGCGCGTTCCGTGCTGGGCCCCCAGGGCGCCTGGGTCATGCTGGGGTCTCACTTACTTGGTCGACCGAGGGACCACCATATCCGAGAGGGACTCGTAGGTTTTTTGCCATTGTATGTAGTTCGGTCTGCCATAAAACACAACTGTTCAGTGAGTTTTGCTGCAAAGGTTCTTGGGTCTTTAGGAAACGGCACCCACCCCCCCCTTTCCCTGAGAGGCTGGAGGTGAGCGGATGGGATCAGAGAGAGCCTCAAACATCCCTTGAGGTGCTAGGATGGCCATAGGGGACCCCATTGCACCCAAGGCAGGCCCGGGGTGAGCGGGCAGCCACAGCACCCAGAGCTTGTAATCTTCGAGTCCGGACCCTGTGTGACCTTGGCAGGCTGTATGACCTCTCACCTCCCGGCCTGCCGTGGGGACCTTGTGGGACGATGTCTGTGCTGCATCAGGCATAGGCAGGTGCTCAGTGCACGGCTGCCCCATCACTGCCATCCCCCCTCCCCCTGCCAGCCAGGGCCCTGGCCAGGAATTCCGGCCTCCCTGCAACCAGGGCTGGCACCCTCTTCCTCGCTGCCCAGTCACAGGGGGAAGCCAGGCTGGTATGGCAGGCAGAGCCCACTCTCCTCTGTGATCTAGCCCAGGCCACATACTTGGGGACGATGACCAGCAGGGTGACGAGATACTCCGAGTCCAGCACGAAGTCGTCTTTGCTCACAATATCGCTCAGTGTCCGAGTGAAGAGGTTCCCCCTGCGAGACACATGGAGCAACGGTCCAGGAGTTGGGGCAGCAGGATGGGACGTGCCAGCCCCCACACCCACGGGCCCGGGGCAGGGGCTCAGGGGAGTTCATGGGGAAGAGTGGGGTGCAGTGGATGCTGGAATCTAGAAGGTGGTGGTTCTCATAAAAATCATCCTGCCCTGGCCCTGGGCTGAGGGCCCTGGGTCTGGGAAAGCAGAGGGACAGGAGGTTGGCAGGGCCGCAGGTGCTGTCACCAGTCGGCCCGGGGGCTGACCTGCACTGCCTGGTGCAAGCCACGGGCTGTGGGGAGGGGACCTCAGGTGGCAGGCAACTGAAGTGACTCAGGTGTCAGCACAGTGGCCAGCTCTCAAGACGCCGTGGGGCTGGGTTGGCAGATAGGCTCCGTGTCACTTTACAGGCCTTTCAGTCCAGCAGCCAGGGGCTGTTCACCTGAAACAGCTTCCCACACACCCAGTGGGCCTGGTCCAGACAGGTCAGGGTGTCATTAGCACTTGGGTCAAGGCTGTCCCAACAACAAGGGGCCCGGGGGCCATGACAGTAGCCCGGGGGTCATGACAGTAGCCCGGGGGCCATGACAGTAGCCCAAAGACCATGACAATAGTCCAGGTAGCCCAAAGACCATGACAGTAGTCCAGATAGCCCAAAGACCATGACAGTAGCCCGGAGGCCATGGCAGTAGCCTAGAGGCCCTGACAGTAGCCCAAAGACCATGACAGTAGTCTGGATAGTCCAAAGACCATGACAGTAACCCAGAGGCCCTGACAGGAGCCTGGAGGCCATGACCATAGCCCAGGGACTGTGACGTTACAGAAGCCGTGGCATGAGCACACAATGCTTGCCTAGTAAATAGTTCTCAAGCACTTAGCCAAGGCCAGTGGTGAATCCTCGGGGGCTCTCTGACCAGCTTGGGGGTCTGCATCCTTTGCTCCTGTCCCCTGCCTTGCCGTCACTGAACAGCTAAAAGAACCCTCTCCAGAGACACCACAGCAGGGGCCACCCGACAGCTGAGCTCGTGCAGAGCAGAGATGACACCTCTCCTGCTCTGCATCTTCAGGGCCTAGCATAAGGCCCGAGGGCACTATAGGAACTTGGAACACTTCTCAAAAAGAGAAAGACACAGCAGAGGAGGTGGACTGTCTCAGCCCCCTTACACCGCCTCCCATGTGCCGGGCTGTGGGGGGTACCCACCACCTCAGTCCGGTGACCCGAGTCTACAAATGGTCAGAAAGTGAATGGGCTCCGGCAGCTGAGCGAGAAGGCTACGCCAGACGGCTGCTGGCATCCCACCAACTGTTAACAAGTCCAGTGAGGGGACGGCCCCAGGCCACAGTCCAGCCCACCACACCGTCGCCCCTCGGGGCTCTGCACTAGCACCTGCCTCTGGCCCAGCCCCCAGCTCATGCCAATTGAGCTCCGCCTGAGGTCAGCACCCCCAGGATGGTCGCTAGTCCAAGCGCATCTTTCCATCTGTCACTGTCCACTACACGACCACTCGCTTTTTCACAAGATGGCTGGTCCCGTGACCCTCAGAAAGGGCAGCAGGTGGGAGGGACGCCCCAGGGGACAACCTCTGCTCACAGAGGTGAATGCTTCTCAGGAGCGTCTTCAGGGAGCCAGACCCAGCGCCAACGAGACTGGGGGGACTCCCCGCCAACTCCAGCCTCTACAGCAGGAGCCACCCCGCTATCCCTGCACACCCCAGCCCCAGGCCGCCATAACAGAGCCATGACAGTTCTGTCTGCCGGCCCAGGCGGCCACCCCTCCACCCCGGCAGGTGATGGAGAAGGTGCCTGCGACCCGGGGCTGGTGCACCCTGGCTGCAGGGCCCAGCGCCCTCTCTGTGCTTCCTATGGGCCCCTCCCACCCTGTGCAGGGACCTCTGTGAGACCCCCCGGGGGAAGACCTGGCTCACAGTGGGGGCTCTCCATAACCGGAGAGGCGGGGAGAGAGAAGGAAGAGCGACGCGAGCGAGCGAGCCCACGGGAGGCCAGTTGCCCAGTGGCCCTTGGGTCCCGGCACACAGCGCTGTCTGTCCACCGTCTGTGTGTCCGCCTGACTCCCTGGCTCAAAGGCACAGACTCCCCGCCACCCAGTGATGGGGAAGGCACTAAGGCCGCCCCTGGGACCTGAGTCGGGGAGGAGGGAGACAGGTGCTGGGGGAGGGCGCAGGGTGGGGGACGGGTGGGTCATGGTTGGGGCCCGGCACGCACATGGAGCGCTTCTCCAGGTTCTCCAGGTTCGTCTTCAGGGTGCTGTAGGCGGCCGTGCGCGACTTCAGGTCTGTCTCGATCTGCGCCAGTTGCTATTTGGGAAAGCAAAAGCTCCTGGTGACCGAGCGTGAGGAGCTGGGGCATTTTCCTAAAGGGCCATAGCTGCTATGGTGTGTGAAGGGAACCGCACCCGTCCAGCCCACCTGCAGGGCACCCCCTCACCCCACCCCGTAGCCCTCCAGTCTCCCCTGCGCTCTCCAGCCCTGGGCCCTTGGAGTCAGCGGAAAGGCAGGTGCGGGGAGGGAGGGTGATGGCCCCAGACCCTGTGGTCTGAGCTCTCCGATGACTCTCCGAGGACCACATGACCACATGACCCCCACTTGGGGACCACACAAGGAGCTCAGCCGTCTCCTGGTTTCAGGCCGCTGCTGAAGCCTGGCGTCTCGCCCATCCCTCGGTGTTTCCAGGGACTCCCTTATTCTAGAGTCCTAGGGACAAGGAGGCAAGGTCCGCACCCCTGCGGGTGGGCGGGGTAGCGGCGCAGGGCCGCGGGGATGTGCAGAGGCGTTGCACGTGCTTATCTTCACATTTCGCGGTGTTTGGTTTCTTTTATAAGATTAATCATTTTAAATAACGTTTTTCTTAACATCTTACTCTGAAATGATGACAGATACACAGGAAGTTTCAGAAAGACTACACAGACATCCCACGCACCCCATGTAGTGTCCCCCAAGGACGTGTCTTGCCTACGACGACATCCTAGTAGGTCCTGGCAAAAGCCATGACGTCTTTTCCTAAGGTTTTCTATACAGAATTGTGTCATGATTCCCGACGACCCAATACTGCACTGTGCATCACAGTTAGACTGCTCCACGACACGGCCACAGGGCCCGTCCACACGCGCTCTACTGCACTATAGACGCTGCCGACCGGCCGGCCGTGCTCTGGTGGTGAAGGCGGCTGGATCCCACGTGGCCGACCACAGGCATTGCAGCTTGGATCTGGTGGTGTGAAAAAGGCACCGGGCGTGTGTGTGTGCATGCCCAAAGGCCCAAGAAGAGAGAGAAGCGGAGGAGGGATTGAGGTATGACCAGGTCTCACGAGGAATGTTTCCTCACTTCCCCCTTCTCTGTCTCTCTCTGGGGGGTGTACACACCCTCGGACAAATTAGAAACGAAGAACAGAACTGTACTCTACGAGGACGCTCTGGGCACGGTGGTCACGTTACACAGCTCCACGAGTACGCTACGTACACCACGCTGCCCTGTGTGGCCAGAGCACAGGTCACGACCCACACGCTGAGGTGGGTCTAACCCACAGGTGGACCAGCCAGGGCCCTGGGGAAGTGCCAGTTCCGACTCCCATGGCTGTGACCGGAGCCACAGAGCCAAGGTGAGTCCCGGGACCTCTCCGAGCTCACCGCCACAGGTTAGTGCAAGGCGGCACAGGAGCCCCCCCGACTGGGAAGTCTCTGGGTGGCAGGTGCAGCTCTCCTGCTGGGAGGGGCCAGGCCTGGGGTGTCCCTCATGCATTCCTGGTGCAGGAAAAGAGCCTGTTCCCTGGAGCTTCTGCCCCGGCTGGCCTCTGGGCACTCGCTCCCTGCGGTGCAGCCACCTCAGGGCCTCCTGTGCACATAGCACCACTCAGAGCACCAGTCCCCAAGGCCTGCGTTCTTGTCCCAGTGTGGCATTGGACAGCTGTGGTCCTGGGAATGCCCCTTCTCTCTCTGCTACTCCCTCACCCAAACTTGGGAGATGTGACAGCCAGCTCATGGGAGAGGCAGGAAGTTGGAGAGCAGGACACGATCCAGGCACAGGGCGGGCCAGAGCCAGCACCTCCTCCCTCACTGCTGTCGTTCCAGGGACACCCGAGATGCCGCTCCAACCTCTGACCCCCGTGGGCTCTGGGGGGATCCTTCACTGGGTTCAGCACCCCTGGGACAAGAACCCCCTGCTGGCCCAGGGCAGGACAGGGCGTGGCCAGCCCTGCTAACTAGCACATGTTCCTAGACCTGGTGGACTCGCACCGCACCCTCCTGGCAGCCACGCCTGGCACGGGTGCTCTGGACGGCCTCTCCTCGGAGGGCCTTCAGGAATCACTGCCCGATTGTCCCAGGACAATGGGATAAGAAGCACCCAAGGAACCGCGCCCAGATTCCCTGAGCCTTTGGGCCCCACCTTAGTTCCCAAGAGACACAGAAGCTGCCCCATGGGTCCCAAAGACCCGTCTCCTCTCCAGACCAGCCTGCCACACTGAGGGAGGCTCTGTCCCCCCACTGGAGAGAGCAGGAAGACTTTGCTCCCCCAACTGCCCCTGCCCCTGGCTAACAGCACGGGCGTGCAGAGGTTCCTAGGAGGGAGGGACAGGCTGGGGAGAACGCCAGCCTCGACCTCGGGATCTCTGTCAGTGCAGACCGTTCATGAAGACGCAGAGAAGTCAACACCGCTGCAGATGCTAGTGACAGCTCCTGGGCGTTCCCTGTCCCCAAGCAGGCGGAGCCCAGCTCCGGAGGACACAGCTCTGATGCGGGAGGGCGGGGCAAAGGACCAGGGTACAACTCCCCGCCCCACTGCATGAGGCCCCTTGTTCTGCAAGTCAGGGTCCTCGAGCAGACTGGGTGGGGCTAAGCCTCCCCAGCAGCCAAGTGAAGGAAAGAGGAGGGGCCTACAGACCTGCGGGCGGGCCGGGCGGTGGGGCCAAGGGCCTGTGGCCCACCGCAGCTGGCCTCGCTCACGGGGACAGGAGAGGTGCATGAAGGCTGAGTGATGGCCTTCCCTGCTCCAGGGCTGCCTGCACCCAGAGCACAGAGGGAGGCCGCACCTCTGACTCCCAGAGGCCCTCGGCCAGCTAGAGGCAGGGAGGGAAGCACACCTGACCCGGGGTACTGGCAGGGCTGAAGCCCAGCCGCGGGCCTTCACTAGACTCCGAACACCGTGGAGACCCGCCCAGGTGCCCGAAGTCCCACCCGCAGGTCCTCCACTCACCTTGGCCAGCGTGTCCACCACGGTCACCAGCGGCTGCTTGGCGGGGTACTTGGCCATGTCCCATTCGAAGTGGGTCACGAAGGACGTGAGGTCGACTGGAAGAACACACACAGCACACTGCAGCCAGTGAGTGGTACTGCCACAGCTCCCGGCCACACGGCCCGCCCTGGGCCAGCGTCCCCTTTCACACCACGGCAGCACATGGTTAGCAGCTGGGGGCAGCTGAAGCTCTGAGCCAACTAGTGACCATGGGCCAGAACCATTGGCAGCACCCCAAGGCCCTCTGGTCAGCACCCCAGCAGTCAAAGGCCGGGACCCCGTTGTGGACCATGTCTGTGGCCCAAACTCTCTTTCAACTGCCACTCCAAGGATCTGCTTTGGGAGGGCGTGTCCCCACCATACTCGGAGGGCATAGGTGATCACCCCACCTCCTCCACACTCCCTGCGGGGTCCGCATTCTCTCCAGGCTCACCAAAGGCCCTCTGGAGAGCAGCAAGCCTGCCCCTGCAACCACCCAGCCGCCGGCCTGTCCCAGGTGCACCATCTGCAGCACAAGAGCCTCCGGGCCCCTGCGTCCAGGCACCACACAAGGCGACGTGACCCTTCGCTGTCCCTTAAAGAAGGCACGCTGAGCGTGCTGGGGTGGAGGCCGGCTCTTACCACCCAGCATGGGTGTGCGTTTCCAAGGGCGTGCCCTTCACATACGTCTACGGGTGTTCTCACACTTTTCTTCTATTTGTCTTTCCAAAACACGGCTGGCCTCAGAGTGCTCTGGCTCCCTCTGCCCTGCTGTGAGGCGGGCGGGACCCAAGAACATCGAGGCAGTCTCGGCTGGCCCCGAGCGTGGACCTGAGCGGCCGAGGGACCAAATCTGCGTGCTCGCTAAAACCTGGGGCCGTTCACCCCTGGCGCCCACTGTGCCCACATCTCAGAGCGCCGACCCCCGCACGGCCCCGTGGGCATCTGCTCTGGCACAGTGGGAAGTTCACGATGCCCCAGTGCTACAGCGACCCGGGACCCCTCCATCCTAGCAGATGGCTCCTGGCTGAAGCTCCCCAGGCCGGCATGCCCAGGACGCCCTCAGCACGGGGACAGGGAGTTGCCGTCATCGCTCGCTCAGTGATCAGTCACCTTCACTGAGCTGGCTATACCCTGCTGGGGCAGACCTGACACCCTCTCCCTGCCCTATTTTGAGGGGCTCACCGTTACAGGGAGACACCCAGACTGTGTAACACGCCACAGCGAGTGGCGAGCTCAGAGGGAGGAGGAAGTGGCCCAGTGGCTCCTCCCAGGGAGGGCAGGGTGGCTTCATGGGGCCCAGAGTTGATGCAGAGGCTAAAGGGAGAGAGGCTGACCCTGGTGAGGACTGGCTCGGGGTGTCCGGTGAACAAGACTGGCAGCATCGTGTGTCGGGGCATGGCCAGGCCTCGGGGAATGCTGGTGGAACGGGGGTGTGGGCAGAGGCAGGCCAGGGTGGGCAAGGGCTGTACCTGCTTCATCCTGGGCCAGCAATGACCTCAGACCTCACTGCTCAGTGCCCATTCTGTGCCAGGAACTGACAGAGATGGCTACAACTCGGACGGCAGTGCAAACGGGCTCACCAAAGACGCCACCAGACAGCCACAGTGCCCAGTCCAGGAGGAGCAGGCCAGGGCCTGTTGTACCGGGAGACTGCTCTGGGGCTGGTGTGGAGGGTGGCTGGGAGCAGAGAAGCCAGCAGGAGTGGGGAGATGGACAGCCAGGCTGGGTGGGCAGAGGAGCCCTGAGAGCAGAGAGGGAGGACCCACTGGCTGCAGGGCTAACGCCTTGTGGGGCACCAAGGAGGCCCGGCCACACCGGGCTTCTGGGTCAGGAGACGGGGCAGCAGGAGGGAAATCCACAGACTCAGCAGGGATGGGGTGGAGGGGAGACTCCCTGGGATCAGCTCAGCTGGACAAACTTGAGTTCGACACGTGCGGAGGGCCCTGGTCTAGGAAGCAGGATGGTCAGCGTGGAAGAGGTAAGAAATGCATCGAAATCAGGACCAGCAGATGGCATGGCTGTGTCGCCGGACTCCCATGTAGTTGACCGTGGTTCGAGTCCCAGACCCAGTGGCTTATACTCATGCTGGGTGGGTGTACGTGTGTACCCAAGATCCCGAGAGGAGAATGGAGGAGAAGGGATTGCGGCGTGGCCATCCCCCCTGGGGGGTGATTTCTCACTTTCTCTCTCTCTATCTCTCTCTGTCTTTCTGGCGAGCGCACATGCCCTATAGTGAAAACCTCTCTCAAAAAAGAAAAAAGGAATACATTGAATAACCAGGGTGACAATGGCAACCACTGAAGTCTGACATTTACGGAGTGCTCAGCTTGGACCAAGACCTGGACGACTTCACCTCGCGTGAATTCAGCCTCCTGAGCACAGTCATTCTCTCCGTTTTACCAGCGAGTTATCCTCCATCACAGTTGCCAGTCCGCGAAGCACCCGACAGTCTGCCGGCACACAGAAGGACCCGGCTCCTTCCCCTGTCACCTCCACTAGCAGGGCACAGCCACGCTGCACAAAAGGGACTCACGCCTCCACTGACCTCTTCACAAGAACCACACTCAGACACCCTCTGGGTACCCCGCCATGGAGGGCCCTTGGAGACTGGACCCTTACATTTGCAGCGTTGGTGCTGGAGTTAACATGGCGAGTGCTGGCTGGATAGCGCCCTCTAAGACATCAGGATGAGGCCCTGACCCAACAGGACCCACGGCCTTACAAGAAAGGACGCCAGGGCTCGATCCGAGCTCTCCCTCTCTCCACACACTTGCACCAAGGCCACTGGGACACCGTGAGAAGACGGCCATGCACGAGGTGGTGGAGCCCTCACCAGCTAGAACCCCCATCTTAGAGCCCAGAACTATGGGGAGATGAACACGAGCTGCACAAGCCCCCAGGGGGAGAACCCCGTGACGGCCCACACGGACTCCGACGGGTTCTGGCACGAGTCGGGGCATCAATACAGATGCTGGCACTGCCACGTCGCGGGGCAGGGAGCGTGGCTGCAGAAAGGACTCAGGTGTAGATCCGGCCCAGTGGAGACAGTGAATGAGTACCGGTGACGCCAGCAGGGTGTGTGGGCGGAGGCTGAGCATGGTGACGTCAAGGACCCTGCCCATGACAGCTATGGCCACTGTTGCCACTTAGGACCCCGCAGAGGGCAGGCACTGGGCAAGCGTACCTCCCACCGCGATCCAGAGAACCAGCCCCAAGGAGGCCGATGGCAGCCCAAGGCCGGAGCCCAGGTGTGCGCGTGCTGTCAGTCCCGCCCTGTCACCTCCACCCAAGCACGTCACCTTCTCCTGTCTTCCCACTGCTTCCACACTGGACAATGGCGGCAGCTCCTTCCC